GTGAAACTTGTTCATATTGACTCGGTTTGATTTTCAATTCACACATTGAAAGAGAGAAAAATAATAATAATTCTGCTATGCTACTGGGGAGTGTTTGACACCTTTTTTGATAAATCCCTCATATTAGGGGGGACAAGATTTTTTGACTTTTTTTATTCACATGAATCTCATTTTTATGTGAGTATAAGTCAACAAGGGTAACAATTTTTTTTATGGCAAAGAAGTTTAATTCAAATAACAAATTTAGGGGGCATAGAATCAATTAATGAAATTTACAGGGACTGAGATAATGAATTTGTAAACGACAAAATCTAGTCGGAGAGGGTCATAGCCGCAGGGATAATGACAGTCACAGAGCATGAGGATTCGGAAATGCAGTATCTAAAGTTGCACAAAAGCAGAGACTTGATTGGTCACTAGCCAACACGTAATCATTTGGATTTTTATTTTTGTCTGAAATAAATATTTAAGTAAGTAAAAAAACAATTAACAAAATCAATGGAAAAAAGGTTGTACCCCAACCTTGAGGGCTCTTACGTCCCGTTCCTAGAGTATCGTGAAGAAGGTAAATTGCTGAATGTGTCCCACTAGGTCAGAGAATAAGAGTTTGTCCGTACACTGATACCCACAAAGAGTCCAATTTCATATTTCAAGAATTGAACACTTACACTACGACTGCTAGCAAAACTGAAAGTATCTCACTCATGTCTTTTATACTACTGAATTATGACCCGGAGGCAAAAAATAAATAAATAAAATCAATGGAATCATACATAGAACACGAGGGCAAAATAGAAAATGTGTGCTAAGAGCAAAGGTATTTTAAAGAGGTATTATATTAATTATTACATCACATTATAACCACACCAGAATTAAAATATATTTTCAATAAATACACTACAACAAATTTACAATTATACTCTTAATATAATAAAAATTAAATACAATATTGTAGTATACTCATCATCTAAATATATTTCATCCTTATTATTTTTTTTCTAGAATATGTTTTTCTCTTCCCGCTTTTCATCTCAATCTATATTGACACATTGCAAGTTTTTCAATATTCACTCCCAATAATTTAATTGCAACATATATGGCTTAGGTATACTATTCATTTACCCCCAATAATTAGTTTCCATAATTTTTTCCCAAGTCTTCTCTGAATTTTTAATTCATTGACTTCAAATGTAGCAGGTTTGGAATGGATTGGAGTAAATGTGCTTCATGAGTAGTTTGACTTATCGACACCTACAGAAATCCCAACTTTCTCTCCAATTTTCTCTGAATAAGTGTAAACAAACCCGATAATTGGTCTTTACTATTTTTAATGACGTGTTGGTGATTTTCAACTTTCTTTTCAACTTCTTTAATTTTATTTAGGATAAAACCATGTGTACCGAAGGGGGTTATCGAAGCGTGTCCCCCTCCCCCCTCACAAACACACGGGCCCCGCGTGTATTTAATAATGTCGAGCCGTGGTCCCCACCTTAATGATGTAAGTGAGGTGTAAACGATTATGTAAATGATTATGTACGTGTAGCACGGTCCTTTTATTTATTTTATTATTTTTTTTTTTTGAACTTTCGGTAATTTACTTCCGACAAATACATTATAGTGTCGATGGTGCCTCTGTGTCGGAAGCATAGGTGGCATAAGAAAGAGGGGATCCTTAATTTATCCTATTAATTCTCAATTCATGAAACCTTCGGATTAAGAAACAAAAAAATATAGAATAATACCATATAGCATGAATACATTTACTGTGAGAAAAAGAAAAGAAAGCAAAAGTCGTCATCGATGGAAATGTTATGCACAATTAGATGTTTAAAAAAAAGGAGAAAACAATTAAAATTTTTATTTGGGTGGAACAATAATTTATTTTAGACTAATTATCTATTAAAATCTAATTGTGTAATTACTTAAGATTGTTTAAATAAATAAGAAAAATACTAAAAATTGTGTAGTAATTAAAAATTGTAGTGCTAATATAATTACCATTTTGAAAATATTCAACGTGGAGAGGAGGTCTCCATTATTGTTGTAAAACTCAAGGATATAATTTACTCTGAAATCTTATTATACTTTTTTCAGGGAAATTTGCACTTTACCTCCAAAATTTTCCAAGTATAAAAAATTTATCATCAACTTTGTTTAGGTATAATTCGTCTTCAACCTTCCAATTACGTAGCGAAACTTGTCATTCCTTCCATTTTTTATTAAATGATGAATTTTTCCTCTTTCTTAAATTAATCAAAAACTAACGAAAAATTACAAAGTGAGTCCCATAAGTTTTCAAAAAGTTATAAATAAATGCCACTTGAGACAATTAAATACATATTTACATTAAAAAAACACAAAAAAAAAATGAAAAATGAAAAACATTTCATCATTTCTAGTTAAGCTCGTCCATTCATCCCAATCCAACCATAACCCAACACATCGCGGTCAAACACTATCTCCGTAAATGCAATCACAATACCACCACCACCTTATGAAATTAAATCAGAAAAGAAAAATTAAAAACCTTCTAGATAAATAATCGGCACTTGTGATTTGAGTTCTACATTTTGATTTCTCAAAGAGATGATGGAGAGCTAGTGAAGTGTTCAAATGTCAGTGGTAATTCTTCGAATAAAAAACATATACGTTCCTAATATACTAGATGTGGAGTTAATTGTTTCAATGTCACTGAATTTAGGTTCATATTTTTTATTGGTTACTAAAGTTTAAAATGTCTAGTTTTGACCACTGAACTTTGAAAAATGTTATACATTACTTATTGAATTTTAAAAAATATTGTTCACTACTTACTGAATTTTGAAAAATGTTGTACATTGCTCACTATAAATTCGATATTTTTCAAAATTCAACATTTATGCTAGTGAGTAACGTACAGCATATTCCAAAGTTCAATAGTCAAAACTCAACATTTTAAACTTTAGTAAGCAATTTAAGGCATGGATTTAAGTTCAGTGAGCAATCGAAAATATTGACCTAAATTCAATGACCAAAACGAGATATTTTAAACTTTAGTGATCAATCAAAAATATGAACCAAAGTTCAGTGATTATTGGAACAATTAACTCCCAGATGTGTGCATTTAAATTAAAAAAATAAATAAAAATAAAAATAAAGGTTGAACCATGTGGAGTGGGGATCTAGTGTCAGTTCAAGATAATTTGAATTTTTATTCATTGTTATGATTATTATTATTATTATTATTATTTAGTACAACAAAATGATTTCATATTTTTTTGTCATCAATTGGTGGGTCTCAAGCACCAAATTGTCAAAGAAAATCAATTAGGTTGTCTGTGAAATACTAACTCCCACGCAATTAGTAACGAGAAATATATTTCTCCACCGACAATTAATAATTTATCAATAATTTAATAATTAATGACTATAACACAAAGTCTTAAGCAATGTCATGATGTAACGCCCACTTACTGTCATCCAAACCCAAACCCAAACCCTATTTTATATATAAATAAATCTCAGGCCAGCAAGTAGAAATGTTAAATTGATGAATATATATATTTAGAAAAGAAATTGCATTATTTATCCCTATCTATTCTCACAGTAACAAGTTGATCTTAAACGTTTCAAAGGATGAACTTTGCAATATTAATCCTCGATGATATGAGTTCTCTAAAATTTTCTAAATCACGTGTGATCCACACATGTTTCATTTTTATAAAGTTCGAAATTTAATAATTAATGACTATAACACAAAGTCTTAAGCAATGTCATGATGTAACGCCCACTTACTGTCATCCAAACCCAAACCCTATTTTATATATAAATAAATCTCAGGCCGGCAAGTAGATATGTTAAATTGATGAATATATATATTTAGATAAGAAATTGCATTATTTATCCCTATCTATTCTCACAGTAACAAGTTGATCTTAAACGTTTCAAAGGATGAACTTTACAATATTAATCCTCGATGATATGAGTTGTCTAAACTTTTCTGAATCACGTGTGATCCACACATGTTCATTTTATAAAGTTCAGTTTTGTTTTCTAAAATTAGATTGTTGCCCCAAATTTCATTATTGAAGATTAATTTGCAACAATTAATAAAAGGTTAATGACTAATTAGTTACTAGGATTATAAAACGGGGACCACTGGTGCAATTTTCTATTAAAATAATATTGGTGGTTGAATATATATATTTTTAATGGGGGAATTCGTTGAAAATATAATTGTCTCTCATTAAAACTTGTTCAAAAATATCAAGTAACAAATTCAAAAAATTCCGTTGCCGGGACTTGAACCCGGGTCTCTCGGGTGAGAGCCGAGTATCCTAACCAACTAGACTACAACGGACTTTGCTCATGGAGATCCGTACTTTCAAACTAGTTTTATGTCTACTGAAAATTTTAAAGCACATCCCCCAATCGAATACTTATTTTGCAACGTGACCTTATTTTAATCTCTATTCAAATGAAAAGATTAAATTGAAGGAGTCAGCCAAATTAGATTACAGACAAAAGAGGCACATTTTCACTAAACATTTACTAGTTTGTGGCTACTACTTGTGAATCTCGCATCATTCATAAAACGATCATCTTGTGAGTTTATATAGAATGAAATCTTTCTTCTTACAAAGCAATTTAAGGACGAGTTCTACCTATTGTAATTGTAACGACTTCTCTTCCAAATCATAGGAATGAATGTTGTGTCTTGAACTTCATTCTAATGGTTTTAATGTCAAAGCAAAAGCAAAATTCGGATAGGGTACTAAGAAGTAGGTTTGTACCATCTTCCCACTTCAAAATCGGACATGAAAAGCTCCCTTCAATCCCACTCAAGTAGGTGAACCAAATAAAGAAAAGAGTTCTGGCTTTCAAATTTTAATGAACCATCAAATATTTGGGGACAACATAGTTTCAATTGGATTATGTTGGATTTGCTGCCTTCAGTTTCGCACTGGCAAGTTTTGTTTCATGTAGAAGCAGAATCATTAGTATTAAAAGAAGCCACCAAATCCAGTCGAAAATATGCTTCAAATTTTTATTCTCTTCAAATCAGAAATTTTGTTACAAACAAGTGGAAAAGAAAAGTATAAAATTTAACGATTCATCATGATTCATCAGTTGTAGAATCATCTAACGGATGCCAGACTCTGTTGAAGAACCACATAGTATCAGCCTCCACAGCATATCCATCCTGATTACGATGCCAACTATAGTAAGCATGGGTTCGATTCTTGATATCGAAAGTGGCATGACCAAAGCTGGCCTCGCGATAAGCTGAGTATTTAGGCTGTGGTTCTGTCATACTGAAAATAATAGAGAATGCATTAGCTTATAAAGTCGTCTACTTTTCAAGTAAATTATACGAGTGAGCATGTTTGGATAAGCAAACTAGTTTACATATAAGTAATAAAGTAGTTTTTAAAATAGAACTTTTTTTTATTGGTAAAAGTTGGACATAAATAAATTACTTATAAGTAAACTTTTGGAAATAAGAAACAAGTAAATTATCCAAACATGTTTCAAAAAGTTGAGCGAATTAAGAGTAACTTTTACAGTTCTTTAAACCTTAGCAAACATGATATTGTCTAAAAGCAAATTCCAGGACATATAAAAAGTCTTACTTGGTGGCCAAGCCTTCAAGATTCCCCCCATCTCCAATAGTTATGTAAACAGGGGCCGACTGGTCAGGTACCGGAGTGCACAATCCGTTCACAACATTGTATGCAATGTTTGATACACGTTCCTATGACAATAGATGATGATCGTCAAGTAATGCCAGAAGAAACTGAATTTTCGAAGAATGTATAGAATAATGCCATATGTCCCCGGTGGGCATCATCCACAGGTGATTTGGTAAGTGATGTGGAGTGGGATGATAATTCAATTAAATGACCCAGTTTATAAGTTTTATTATTTAATGTCACATCATATGGGGATGATTTTCAGTGGCGACATATTACCCTTTATAAATTCAGTACAATAGACACCCACGGTCATTAAAAAAAATAAAAATAATAAAATAATAATAAATAAATAAATTCAGTACTATAGAAAGTCTAAAGTATTTTTGAGTATCAGGTCAATTTAAAATATTTATATTTCTATGTCAATCATTATGTGGTTTTTCCAGAAAATTCTCCCATGTTGTGGTGCATAATATAAATCAATGACCCAATTTTATGTACACCAAATTTGAAATAAAATATTCTTTCAATAAAAGAAAGATATGCCAATGACCCATATGACATGGTTTGAATTCAGTGACGAGGAATGGAAGTGCACATACCGATCGCTCGTATGCATGAACATGACCAGCAAACACAACATCAACTTTGTACTTGACGAACCATGGCTCGTACATGACTCTCATGGTTTCCCCTTCTAAAAAGTGATAGTTGTAGCTGTTGTACCATGGGGAATGCATCAGAACAATCAGCCACGGCGTCTCACTCCGGTTGACTTTTGTTAGCTCCTCTTCAAGCCATTTATACTGAGGAGTATATTTTCCTTACAAATATAAAACAAAGAAAAATGGATAATAAGCATCAAAAGTACAACCAATTCCCAAAATAATTATTTTACTCATAAGGAACTAGAAAAAAGAGACGTCTATGAATGTCATAGACATGGGATTTTTGACTAAGCTTAAACACAAGTAAAAGTCATTTTTTTACTCTTTGTCTCCAAACATATTTGGATATGTTGCTTATTCTTAATGTTGTAAGCAACTCTTTTGTTAGTGTAAAAATAAGTAACTTACTTATTCTCAATTTCAGCTAATATAAAAATTATTTATCTTAAAACTTACTCATTTACTTGAAAGTAAGCTTTAACTCAACATGCTCTAGGCATCATGTGTAAGAATGAACAAGGTATTCCAATGTGCAAATATACGAAACACAAAAAATGAATAGATTCCTCAGTCACTGATTTTTAGTCTTTTCAAAAAGAAAGGAAATCTACTTATGAGAACGTTACATTTACCACCCTAACAAAATTAATGGATCAAGCCAGTATGAGTTTCATTTAATCAAATGTGCAATAGAGCAGTGAATACAAAGTACAATATTGTAAATGAGATGTTAATTTCCAAGGCAAATACGTGCTTACCATATGCTGAATACGATGATAAAACAATGATGTACGCTGAAGCTCTCTTGATTGAGTACCATAAAGGAGAGGTGCTATTTGATACTTTGTAAGGGGTGTGATAACGGTGACTATATGGCTTAAAGGGTTTTGTTTCACCCTGCAAGAAAATAATCAATACTTATTTACAAACTCATTTCCATGAAAATTGGGTTCATATTAAGACTGACAAAGAAATGAAATTAGCAACTGAGCTGCAAGGAACAAAAAGAAAAGGATATGTTGGGTGTTCAAAAGTAGTCCTAGTTACGCAAGAAAAATTTGTTCAAGTATTCATTTTTTCCCCGTCATATCGGCGATTCTTCTTTTTCTATTTACTCAATTTGGAGATGGTAAGAACCTTCATGCATTAGATTTTTGTTTTTGTGCATGTTTGGCAAAGCTTATAAGTGCTTATAAGCTGATCACACACCATTTGTATCCACACATTTCGTAGGATCCACGACTTTTACCTACTTTTGCCCACTTATCATCCACACATTTTGTGAGACCACAACTTAAGAGTACTACCAAACAATTTTTCCGCTATCAACACTAACATTGAAAACCTACTTGTAGAGAGGTCTTTGGACGGGCTTTTCTTGAGTTGAAAAATGCTGACTTGTTCAAATAAAATGATTCCGTAAAGATCAAGATGTGTACACTAGAAAAGAAAGTCAAATCAATACAATTCAATATCCAGTTATATGCTTTGTTGTTTAAAAGAAGTAAAGAACTATAAATTCCCTCCATATATCAGGAATATCAAAAACATTTATCCACAATGGAAACTTGAGAAAATGGGGGAATTGTTGCATTGAACATTTAGGATTTCTGAGCGAACTGGTTTTGCCGTTATAAAATATTGAAGATAAATGAAAAAAAATAAAGTTATTTCCTCCCAAGCAGTTTAAGCTTTTAGATGACTTAGCTTAACATAGTATTACATATAGTAAGGGTCCTGAGTTCAAGTTTCATCATCAACCACTCATAAAACTACGCACATGACAGGCCTTTAATAAAAGGGAAACTCTGCTGCATGTGAGATAACAAGTTGAAGGCATTTAAAACTTAAGCTATTTAGCTTCCATTTGACAAATTTATTTTTGGTTTATACTTTATAAAGAGGGCTAGTAAGAGGGAAAGTAGAGGTCCAACGAAATATGTGGATAATAATGATTAGTAGTTATGATTGTGTAGTTGAAAATTTGAAATTAACCTTTGATTGTGGCTGAATTTATAAACCACTTATAAATGGGATTGTCAAACGGAGGCTTAGACAACCTCATGTGAAAGCTTAGATTTACCTCCCTCACAAAGCTCTAGGGCGGGGCGGTGGGGGCCTATCAAGGTTGGGGTTCAACCTTTTTTAGATTAGTTGAAATGGGACAATTAATGGTCAACATAAAATGTTGACAATTATCACTTAGTACTGAAATTTTCGTTTGAATCCCACACATGATATGATTGAGAGCACTGTGTTCAAGAAATACACAACGATTTTGCAGGACACTTACAATTTTTGGAGCAAAATCAATTTCGTGATTCCCTGCAGTCCAAATCCAAGGTTGGTAAGCAACACTTCTTTCGACGAACCTTCCCCATGTATCCCATCTCACATTGTCATTGTTAGGATACTGGTCAGCATAGGAAAGGTCTCCAACAAACAACACCGTTTGTCCCTTGGTGGGATTTTGTTCGTAATGTGTAAGCGTCCTATTAGAGTCAAAACTCTGACCAAGATCCCCTGCAATAAAAATTGAAAAACACTCACATTGGTTGTATTAAGAGCATGTCTGGCAAATCTTAAAGTTTAATTTAAGTAGGTCAAACATACTTTTTATTCACACATTTCATAGGACCCACAACTTACTACTCACACGCTCATAAAACTCGCCTCTTATAAGCACTTAAAAGCTCTATCAAAACAAGTACTAAGATTTAAGACCTTGTTCATTCATAAGAGCATTCAACTTAAAGCCAAACAAATGCCACTTTACCTATCAGATCACCTAGCTTTTACTTTTTTAACCAACCACGAACCACAACAAATTAAGCTCTCTTGCCAATAAGGTTGGAAACAGTTACATGAATCCGTTTATGTATTTAAGTCACTTAGTTTGTCTCACTGCCACAGGGTAAGATTATGCTGTACTCAGTACACATTCCACAGCCACCATAACCACTTTCTTCCCAATCAGCTCATATAAATATTTTGAAGAACTTTTGAAAGCTCATTGTATAATAAAACTAAAGTACATGTTCGGTATGCAATACATAAGATGGTACAATAAACAAGATTTTAGCAATTTTTAATTTTTTAATATTATCACATGCTTTCCAATCCGCCTTAGCAAACATGACAAATTTATTTTAAAGGATCAATAAATTACAGTACCAATTATTGAAGTACGTTAATATAATATCAAGTCTTGAGCAAACTGCCGTGAAATAATTAGGTAAAGAATGGATACCTATAAGACCAAAAGTATAAGGAACATCACGGCCAACTTCAGGAGGCGTCATGAACCAGAATGTTCGTGTCGTGTGACCAATTCCAACCTCGTAATAGTATTTAGTGTTGTACTGCCACAAAGAAGTGAAAACTTCATCCCAAATTGTCCATAAAATAATCTCCCTTATCATATCTTGTTCAAAGCTAAATATACACATAACAGAGCATATAAAGGAAGAAACACCATTATAGAAATAAGAATGGAAAACAACAAGAAATGGAAATTCACCTCTAACTTTTTAATGGTGCAATGGTGAATGTAACCAGAGGTATAATTGTAAAATTTATACTTGGTAAGCTTTCCTCTTGCCTCTTTCTTGTCCTTGCTATTCTCGCTCCAATAAAGGACTGCATTTGAGCCCTGTTCATCCACGGTAACCCATGATACAATCACTGCCTTTCCCAAATGATCTCCTTGTGTTATATGTACCTTAAGAACAAACAATTATTCAACAAATTCAGTCAAAGAGAAGCATCTATATGTGAACTGTTTGGTTATCTAAAACAATTAAATTTTTAGCAACATCTGAGTTCCGAGGTATTAAAACAAAAAGATAATTATTACAAGGATACTTTTTAGGCAAAAAGGGAACATTGATCAAGTTAATTCATGATACTTATAAAGAGAAAAGGAAATATAATACATTAAATCATACTTTTGAAAAGTTTGTATTTGTTTATAAATTATGTTATGTCATTCAGGATATATTAGTAATGAAGAAAAAAAAAAGATATGAAGAGACCTGCTGAGGCGCATTATAGCCAGGCGGCACACGGAAGACATCACTTTCAAGAGGCATATCCTCAGTTTTCTCA